TAACTATTGTGCCATTAAGTTATTGGAAAATATATTTTGTTACAATGGCAACATCTGCTCAGTACAAGGTCTGAGGAGAAGGCAATTCAAAGGCTTTGGCATTCGACATCCATTTAGTTAGAAGCTACAAGTGGGAACAAAAGTGGGATTCAGGAATTTACCACTGCCTGCAAGTCTTTGATGAATACTGAAGTACTCTCCTATCTGGAGCACTGAGGAAGAGGAGGAGGAGTGTGAGAGGAGCTTATGAAGGCAGAGTAATGGCGCTTTTCCACTGCAGGGCCTCGCTCGGCTTAGTACGGTATGGCTAGGCCTTGTTAGGCCTTGTTAGTCCAGGCTCACTTTATTCTGCGTTTCCATTACAGTTACAGTAGTTTTAGCCAGTCGTCATTTGTGCGAGTGCTGTACTTGTAGAGTGACCATATCTATATGCATGTTGGTAGTTCGTTGTCAGACTGTTACTGGAAAAGTAGTATTGAATTTGGGTGTATACTATTTTTTCTATTAATTTACTTAATACTGGGAGGAGACTTATAGGTTGACTATTGGAACCAGCAATGGTTTTTCTTTTATCCTTGGGTAATGGGATAACCTTGGCTTCCTTCTAGATCTCATTTTGCAAATGAGGCAATACAAAGTTGATATGGGTAAGACAGTAAAGACAGAAGGAACGGACATAATTTAAGGTCTGTTGGTGAAGCTAATATTACACCTGCCAATGTCTAATATACATAGAGTGATATATGAAGGACAACAAGAAACAGATTCTCCAGAATCCAGGCTGGGTTAACAGCTAACGGCTGTTTGGCACGAGTCCAGGGTTGAAGGAATCAGGATGTGGCAAGGTGACTAAAAATGACACAGTTGTTTTAGTTAATGTTTAATGCGTGTAATCTTTGGCACAGCGCCTTGGGAAACTAGTCAAACTTTAGTTTGAAGTGCCAAGTCCTGGGGCGCAGCTTTTGACATCAATGACATTTTTAATAATTCAATAATAATTTAAAAGAGTAACAAGGTTAAAATAACTCGATTTTACTTAATTGCACACGTTTTGCGCAAATACATAGAATGTACAGGATGGCACATTTTATAGTGAGAGTACCGGTGTTGAATGGCTCACACTGTTGCAGGGGCTTCTCCGGAACCAACAACTTTGTTTCCATGTATACCGAGTGTGTATTATATTAGTGACAATAACAAATCATGAATCCGGAAATGGATCCAGACAAACATGGATTTTGTTGTGTAATTTCTAATAATAATTCAAAAATGGATTTAGAGACTTGAAAATTGGACGACATTAAGTTTTTGAGAAGTTCCCAAACCATAAAAAGCTGTCTGTAATAGTTGGTGCAGTTGATGTATTTACCAATTTTTTCAAATAATTAATTGGAGAAAAAAAAATTGTACAGACTTAGGATGTGAAATTAAGGACATGTTTTGATTAAAGAATTCTTCCATCTTTATCAAATCTGTTTTAATAAAAAAAAAAGATATATTATTTTTGTTCTGGCCACTAGGGTGCAGTGCATTAAACTGTAAACAAAGTGTTGACATGTGTACAATCTTGTAAAGAAATATTGTCTTACATGTGAAAAACATTTGCCTATTTGAACATGAAGCCCATCAAACATTAGCATTTGGAGTCCTGTTTAAGGCCTGACGACCAATGTAAGTCCAATAGTAATTCTACTTTCATTTCACTTTTAAACTGCTAAATGCTACACCGTGCTCCTTAGCTAGTAGCTATCTTTTTCAGTATCATGTATAGTGTCCTGTACTACGAAGCAGGATTTGCAGTTAGCGAAGTAACTTCAGGGTTAACTCTAGGTTTCCGGTCCTGCGACGCTGGTTCACTTCTTACCGCGGTAGATCTACATGGTAACTTATGCTGAACACCAAACCTGCTCCGGAGCAGGTTACAGATAAGAGATCAACTTAGTGAAAGCACCTGCCACAACCAGGGGCGCCGCCAGGGATTTTGGGCCCCATAAAAAGATATCACATTGGGCCCCACCACCAGACCCAGGCCACGCCAACCATGCACAATTGCTGTAACCACACCTCCAGAACCCAACCGACTCATTTATGCTTTAAATAACTCTACCTGTACAGACTTGTTGCATCTATCTTGTAGTCCAATACTAACCGCACAATATTTACTGACACTGAGCGGTGAAAATATAATACTGTGCAGACTGCAAATTCTACTGCAACATTCTGCTGCAGTAGAATTCACTATTTGATATAACACTAACATTCCTGACAATAGATCTCAATAGTCATCTTTTATGGTGTACATGCCTGTTTAATAACATTTTTGAATGGAACATTCATAAATCAAAATAAATATAACTTAAATATACATGACCTCTGAAATTAAAATAAAGTGAACATTAACACCAATATTATCATTTATAAAATGCTATAACAAAAAAAATAACATAAGCAGCAGACTTTTTTATTAAATATACATACCAACTACAAAATAAGCGGGTATTAAAGTGTAAATGGATAACAAAACGGAAATGGAAGTGAAAAGGCCTGATGGTGGTGACTGAGCCTGTTACCTGTTCTCAATCTTTTTCTCATCATGCGTCTTCTGTGTGATCCAATATCGCTACCATAGCCTTGCCCTTCAACAGTTATTGCGAGCCCTTGCTCAGCCTTACTCACCAAGAGCCCAGCGCCTAGCCTTCTTACAGGCAAAGTCACTGATCAAGTCCTTGAAGTCCAGCTTTCTAGCCAACTGGCTTTCAATGGACTGCATGGCAAGACTGCAAAGACAACTGATTTAGTATCAATAGCTGCTAAAAATGTACCTGCATTTATTAAATGTGAGCTAAAAGAGCAGTGAAATGAAAAACCTCAGCATTTTCTGTGAAGATATTAACAGTACTTAATGTCAGCAAAACATTACAATTATTATTTACAATGGACTAAGCTTAGCTAACAGACTAATTTCCACCATGGACCACCCACCTTTTCTCTTGAAAAACTGGGTGACATACTGTCATCCTTTAGTCCCTCTCTCTTGTCTTTCTCTCCTTTCTTTTCTTTCTTGAAAGCCTGACTTTGTGAGTGGTTGAGACATGGCACACACGTAAGTAATAGCATCCCTCCTCACATGCTCCGCCTCTTACTCTCTGCCAGAAAGTGCGGTGCCGCACAGCATTTGGAGGCAGGACCAAACCATTACATGTAAATAGAGAGGGGTGTACAGAAGCTTTGGATAATTAACTTTTGGCAGAAAAAAAGTTAAATGAATCGTAAGTTTAGTGAGTACATTATCAATATAACGTTCTATTATTGTTAATTATTGATGATTGATGAAAGGTTATTTCATTTTTTTTCCTTAATGTTCTAAAAAGGTTTGGGGCCCCTGTCAGTCACGGGCCCTTAGAATCGTCCCAACTTTTCACCCCCTTACGGCACCCCTGGCCACAACATAAGTAACCGGATCAAAGTAACATTTTGTACAGTCCGCGGGCCGCGGCACTGTGAGTCCAGCCGTCGATGTGTCCCATTATCATTCATATCACATACATCATAATGTACCATATATTTCCTTATCTTGTCAGCTTCTCGAGCCGTATCTGGCCGTGCAACACTTACATTGTTACATTGTCATACTGTATGCAGAAGTATTATTTTAAGCAACCTTTCACGTGAACGCGCTCTCAGCCGGACGGAGAAACCCTGGGTTGATTTACCGAGTTGATAACCAGCGTCGTAGGACCGCTTAGCGAGATCTCGTTTGTTAGAAGCCAGATAACTCAGAGATATCCAGGGTCTGTTGAACTGGATTCGTAGTACAGGCCACTGGTCAGGTAGTATTTAGCATGTTTATCTTATCTTCTGTACCAAAATGAACACATATACTGCATGAGCCACGGGCCTGAACTGAAACAGATAATAATGTGGGCCATGAAACCAAAACAAAGGGCTAAAAGAAGCTAGCACACTTAAGGGAACTATAGAGTTTGCTGATGCTTGTTTTTACTGGTTTGACAAAGTGAATTTCATCCATTTTTGAAATTGAAAATAAATTAATTTAAACAGCTTGAATTATTATTCATAACGATCACTACATTCTGTATTTTTTGCTTTTTGATTCTTATGCTGATTTTTTACTTGGTATAAAGCCACATTTTAATTTGAAATAAAGGGGAACAAGTGAGACAAAAAATATCCACCAAAACCAAAAACAACAGAACACAAGAGTTGGAAAAAAAACCTAAAGATTTATTTGTAAAGCACTTTTCACAAAAATGCCCTTTAAACAAATTAGAGGGACTAATAACAATAAACAACAAGTTTACTAAAAAATAAATAAATAAACTTTCTACAGTTCTATTCGGGTTAGTGTGTCCCATCCGCTCTGTGCGATGGCTGGTGTTAGAAAGGCTCTACCTCGAAAACATACAGATTAACCCCTCCTGCATCCACGGTAACGTGTACTTTTGGTCCATTGCCAGGAAGAGGGTCGACGTTAATAATACAGCACTAACCTTTTTATTGTAACTGTTACTGTGTGTGATAAAACGAATGAATGAAATAAAAAAAACTAGCAGTTCATACGAGGATCTGTAAATGTGCTCCCTCTGTTCTTCACCCCCCCCCCCCTAAAAAAAGAAACATATCCTTCCTTATCTCTCTTCATTGACAGCAGCTGTAGATGGAGCAACACAAAGAGAAACTGCACTGGGCCCGACAATTAAACACCACATCTCTCTTCATTGACAGCAGCTTGTAGATGGAGCAACACAAGAGAAACTGACTGGGCCCACAATGTAAACACACACACACACACACACACACACACACACACACACACACACACACACACACACACACACACACACACACACACACACACACACACACACACACACACAGTAAGCCGGGCTCAGTACGCTCAGATATTGATCCCATAAGTGAAAATGAGATCGGTGACCCAAAAAATAATCAACAGCAGCACAAAGACCACATACTTTGAATTCTGACCCGCTTTTTGTCACAAGTCATGAAACCATTTTCCCAATACTGGTTTATGCACCTCTTTCAATCTGACCACATGATGATTTAAAGAGCAATGCCAGTTCAAAAACTGCATTACCCAGGAATCCTGTGAGGTGGCATCAGTAGACTGCACATAATATGCTCAGGTTTACCAAGTTATGCTGTAGATAAGTTGGTAATGAAAAGGCTTTGAACAAAAACGTCTATTTATAGTTATTCCTCCTTCATCTGAGGGATTTAGATAAGAAAAGTAAGTATTTTTAATGTAAAAATGTGAAACTTAAAAAAAATCTCCTACAAGATCTTCAGTCAACTTCACTCTCTCCCTACAGCAGCATATAAAGGCAGACTAGAGAGCAGAGCTAAAACTCAACAGACAGACACGTATAGTGACAGACATGACACACTGTCGACAGAAAGCTTCATGAATATCAAACAATATTCAACTTCTACAGTACTTAAGAGCAAAAGTTGGCTCAAGGAGATAAGTGGAGTCTCGTTAGGGTTTTTAAAAAATTCCTGGTTGCATGGATCTAGATGTATACATCTGTTTGCAGGTTAATACCACATCACAAGCTTCGTGGCCACGTAAGGCACAACTTGCTAAAAACACGTTTCTGATGAGGGATGATATTTTACATGAAACAAACACAGTTAATTCAATGAAATCCATAAAAACCTACCATAAGAGAAGTTAGTGACAAAAAATATCCGCATTAAAAAAGTCAGCAACATAACAACACAAAAAAAAAAAAGTTTAAGACAGCAAAGACACAGTAGCCTCTTACGCTCGTCTTCATCAGGTCCTTATCAGCACCCTGCAGAGGGTGTGTGTATGTGTGTGTGAGAAGGAGAAGCAGTGGGTTGAAAGGGGTCAACAGAGGTCATCAACTGTGATGTCAGAGCCCCGAGGTCACTGTTGGTGCATCCGGAAAGTCAGTTTAAGACGCCTGAGGAACTACCTCCATCACCTTCTGACACAAGGCTGTGGTCGAGACTGCAAAACACACACAAATGAAGTCGGCAATTACACACAAGTCACAATTGTCACAGTGTTAAACGTTCACAGGTGGAGAAGATGTTATACTCACAGATGCCATTCAACATCCACTTGGGTTTGCCCTTCCACCACACACCGACAAAGTAGACGGGAACTCCGGTGGCGATGATGCCGAAACCGATCGCACACTCCACTGGAGTCTTCCAGAAGGAGACGATGATGAGGAAGAGGCAAGCGAGCACGAAACTCACCGGCAGCAGAATATTTACCTGCAGGGAGAAGAGAGGGAAGAAATGTCTGACTCTTCTCCAATATAATAGAAATAGATTGCACTTGACTAAGAGACAGAACATGTGTTTGATCATCACCAACATCAATGTATTTTTCCTGACAATGTATTGGCTACTTATAATAACCAACAAAACATGTTGTGAAGACTTTTATATAGATATTTAATTTCTACCAAACATCTGCCAAGTGTATTTCTACTCACTGTGTCAAAAAGGTTCTAGCTTCCTGCTTTTTGGACAGATAACTCTTATTTAACTATCAGTAAGAAAGAGAGTATGAGTATTTACCAACATTTTTAACTGTTCCTTTTACAGCTGTTTGATCCATGGAGCTGTTCATCCTATACTGCACATTTTAGTTTTCTCTTTAAGAGAATGAATCCACTAGATTCATGATAAACAGATACTTTTAACCTTAAACTTTTAAAGAGATGGATCAGTAAATCTAATTGGGTGATTGTCTGGCATCTCGGCTCCAGATCTGTTGAACAGCAGGAATGTGACAGACAAAGAAAGGAGAAAGAAATAGAGTGGGAGAGTGAAAGAGAGAGATGGTTGTCAGCAGAGACAGTGCCTCCACTGTCCCACCACACACAAATACCCGTGTTCCCTCCTCGTGAGGCCCAACCTTTTTCAAACCAATAGTGGGGTCGTCACACACATAGTCACACACACGCCAATATAATAATCTATCCGTCTCTTTCACTTCACTGCCTCTGACAACACACAGTGTCGTGCCAGGGGGCAGATGAGTAGAATTAGGACAGCTATCATGCTCTGAAAGGAGACACACACACAGACGCAACACAATCACACGTGAAAACTCACACACTTACATGTGAACAAAGTGCAACAATAGCACAATGGTGTTCTGTGTTTTGGGGAGTCCTGCAGCAACTGGTTCAGTCAGGAGGCATAGTGCACTTCCTTTTGTACACACGTAAACACACACACACCCTCCACACATTCATAAACACACACTAGGCCTCAACACCAGCTGACTAGCATCCAGCCTCTCTTCTGCAATCTTTTGATGTGAACTATGCTAAATGGATATTTTTTCTTTGCATAAGATGAAGAAGAAACATTTCCTGCTGCCCAATTTAACCTGGGGGGGGGGATACTGTATCCACGTACTAGTGCTGAGTCTTTTCTTTTATTCCTATTACATCAACTTTGGCTCACCTTGATTGGTCGCTCCAGCTCTGGCTTCTTATAACGGAGCCACATCATCCCAACGATCGCCATGGCGATGCAGAGCCAGTTGAAGAAACTGAAGAAGTTAATGACCGAGAAGATGTCGTTGGAGAAGGCGTAGAGCAGCGTCATCATGCACTGTAGACACAACAGAAAAACATTTTATTTAAATAAATATCTACACATATCCCACAGAAGCAATAATGTATGCTTCATCACAGCTGTACATGTGTCTTTCGGTGCCGTTGTGGTTTAAAGAGATTTTTTCAAATTGTATTCAACTCGTGCTGTAAGGTATTGGTGTGAAAAACAAGGGTACATACAGTGAAAATGAGTGAGGGCATCGGGGTCAGCAGGGTGGGGTGGATCATGGACAGCAGACTGGGCAGGTGACCCTCCCGGGAACCCACGAAGAATAACCTGAGAGGAAGGAGAGGCATGCTTACTGAGTAGGAAGCTAGAGAGGGCTATCATCATCTCAGAAGTCAGTGAATTAACACATGCTGCTGGGTTCAAGGGTTTGCCAACCTGTCACCATTCTTGTTGCCTATGTAACCCTACTGGCAAAAAACAGTACAAGCTACAGATATGACAGAAAGTACGACAAGCAAAAGAAGATGCAGCTGCAACAGAGTCTGGGAAAGGATTTACTCTCTGGTGAAGTCGGTGGAGGGCTTTTACCAGAAAGTTGTTTCAAATTTATTTATTTTTTTCAACTGCATATGGGGGTGAATGGGATTTTAAACAACACACAACATGAAAACAAGAGTACGTCTGGCTCATAAGGAACAATGTCGATCTAAAAGATAAGGTAACAGCAGCTAAAACAATAAAAGTCGCAACTACCTCAGTGCAGATTTGATCGGCATCGATATAAAGATAAATTAAAAGCTATAGGGGATTGATGTCCTGTCAGTCTCTTGGTGGGCGAGTGGCAGGCAGCAAGCTTACACTTAAACTGGTATTTTCAATGCAGCATTAGCCGAATTGCAAACCACGCCCCGTAAAACTGTTTTGTAGAGCCGCCATTTTATTATCCTCGCATTAGCATTATTAGCATTAGCATTCGCCCAGCGCACAAAACGCAGAGAGACTAACTTATGGTAACACAAAATAAAACATGGGAACGGTGGAGATGAGGAGGTGTCGGCGTTCTGGCGATTTACTCGGAAGGCTTCAGTAGAAGCCAGTCCCCAACTCCGGGGACTTCCGGCCGGGGACTTCGGGTGGCAGTATACACCGTGAAGTGGTTTGCGTCCTGCCAGTAAACCAAAAGCAGAAGACGACGAAGTCACGTCAGCGGCTCATTTGCGTAATCTTCCCTCAGGGAACTTATTCCGGTGTGAACGCGACCTGTGCTTAGTGCCCTGGGGTAATAAGTGCCGGGACACTAAGTACGGCAAAGTACTTGGTTTGAACGTGGCTATTGTCACTACTTTGACGATGAATGTTAACCTTATAATCATCACAATTTGGCTGTGACGAAGTGTTTCCCTTAGACGTACATGTATTGACTGTCCGGGATATCATCTTATTTAATTTTTTTTATTCTTATTTTTTTTTGCTAAAGTTTAGAAAATCGAAACTTTGATATTTTTGTTGTTTGACGTGCAATATCACTTGGCAGCTTTTAGGTATACAGGACTGTCTCAGAAAATTAGAATATTGTGATAAAGTTCTTTATTTTCTGTAATGCAATTAAAAAAACAAAAATGTCATACATT